TACAAATTATATTTTAGATTTATGATAAATAATTTATATTGTGATAAAAAAAATTATTTTTGTTTATTTATAATTTATTTTAAAATATTAATATTTAATTTATAAATAATTATGATAAAAAAAATTGAATTAAATAAAAAAAATTTACAAAATCTCTTGGTGAAGAAAAATTCTTCATAAAACTCTCGTACAAAATAGAAATCCTTATTTAATTGGCTAAAAACCTAATTTAGTCCTTTATAATATTTGTTTGTTTCAATTTAGTCTCACTTTAATTTTTTGTTTCAATTTGGTTCCTAATAATTTAAATTATTGCAATGTCGGACTTCCGTCCAAATTATTTAGACAGGGTTAACTATTGGTCACGTAGATGACAGGTGGATGCCACGTAGATATAGGTGGATGCCAAATTTCTTGAATGCACTTGGAACTAGAACGGCTTGTTCTGAAACCAAAACAACCCGTTCTGGTTGCACATGTAGTGTGTTAATTTTGCATATGGAACGAGCCGTTCCAGATGCAAAATTAACACACCACGAGTGCAGCAGAACGGGTCGTTCTGGATTCAGAACGGGTCGTTCCATAACGCCAACCACATACATATGTTCAACAAAATGTCGCAATGTGATTCAAAAATTGAAAATAAAAATTCATATCATAAATTCAAAGTCAGAAATATGGTTCAGAAACTGAAAACAAAAATTCATAACATAACATATACTAAGAAAGTTCAAAGAAATTATTGAGAAGGGAAATCATTTGGATAACGCTGAAGGTGCCAATAATACATCTTATCCACCATATAACACTGAATGATTGATAGGATATCATACATGTGGTCCTGTGTATCTTCTTCCTTTATTTCAGGTTGTACCTCCTCAAGAACAGGTTGTGGTTGTTGGGATACATCGGTCAATGACTTCGAGGGGAAACACCATGTCGTTTCATCCTTGACTGTATAGTGTCAATTTGGTAGTAAGTGGTTCACTCTATTTTGACTAACAATGAAATAAAACTTGTTACCATTCTCCTTAGTGATACGCTGCATTGTCCTTAATGATACACAATATAGTCCAAATGTTTAGTGATTGAAGTTATCAATCCCTATTGATAATATTACTAAATCCAGTGTTTGAAAAGCTTTGTACCTTGGGTCTTTTTCCTTGCACGATTCACAACCGTGAACTATAATCATCGAACATTTGTGTTTGGCATTCTGGAACCAGAACGGCCCGTTCTGAAACCAGAACGGCCCTAACCATTATTAGTGTGTTAATTTTGCATCTGAAACAGCCTGTTCCAGGAGCAAAATTAGCACACTAAGAGTGCAACCAGAACGGGCTGTTCTAATTTCAAAATGGGTCATTCTGGTTCCAAATGCATTAAAAAAATTTGGCATCCACTTATGCATCTACGTGGCATCCACGTGGCCAACATTTAACTCAGTTTAAATAATTTGGACGGAAGTCCGACATTGCACTAATTTAAATTATTAGGGACCAAATTGAAACTAAAAATTAAAGTGGGACTAAATTAAAACAAATAAATATTATAAGGGACTAAATTAGGGTTTAGCCTATTTAATTTATAGGAGTTAATTGAATTTGAATGTTTAAAAATGAAGGATCTTATCGTAATGTTAAAATGTCTACTATAAAATACCAAGGTCGACCTGATGAAAGCTATGTTTTGTTTGTAAGTGTAGAATATAGTTAGCTTTGAAATATTGAATGGATATTTTTTTAGAAAAAAAAATAAAAATTCAAAAGATATACTTATGTATTTAAAGTGATTTTATTTTTTTTATTAAAATTTAAGCTTGATAAAGTTAGAAATAAATGTTGTCAAGATCGATTAACTTTATTGATCTAAAAGATAAAGTAAGTGATGGTGGTCCTTAAAAGAATACTTTCAAAAGTAAATAAATCAACCTATATATATTAAATACGAATTTTTATCTAATTTAATTTTTATTTATTATAATTATTTATGAATTAAATTTTGATATTTTTAAAATAAACTATTAATAAATAAAAATATTTTTGAGTTATAACATAAATTATTTATCATAAATTTAAAATATAATTTATATACTTAAAAATATTTATTTATACAAATTTTCTAACTAAGACAAAGTCAATAAGAGTCTTAATATTTTTTTATATTTTTTAAATTAGATATGCATTTTCATTGATTCGAGTCAAGTTTTAAAACATTGAATCACACTATTGTCTTAAGTTCTTAATTTTTTTTCATATTTTATAAGAATAATTAATTTTAATTTAAATAATTAATTAATGTATTTCATTATATTATTTATAATTAATTTTCTAGTACATAAAATTATATAATTATTACACATAATTATATTTAAAATTTGTATAAATAAATATTTTAAAATATGTAAATTATATTTTAAATTTCTGGTATATAATTTATATTATATTATAATATTATTTTTATTTATTGATAATTTATATTAAAATAATAAAATTTAATTCATAAATAATTATAATAAATAAAAACTGAATTAGGTATAAAGTTAAAATAATTTTTAAAAATTATCCCGTCAAAGAAAATTACCTAAAAAAATTCTTACGCAAAATAGTCATAAATCATTTGTGTGTGTGTTAGGATTATTAATTTGAGAAATTTTATTATAATTTAAAAAATGTACATTACATTTTCTTTGGATTTTAATAAAAAAATATATAAAAATATAAAGATTAATTTTTATAAAAATAGTATCATCTATATAAAAATAATTTAATGAAAATGATAGTGATAAAATCAGAACACCCTCTTAAAGATTAATTCTTTTGGTTCATAAAAAGGTATTATCTAATTTTGTTAATTTTATATAAATATCAAATTAATTTTTTTTTAATTCAAAACTTATTTAAAAATATTTTAAAATTTGAAATCATTTTGGAAATTTTTGTTTGAATTTCAATGAATAAAATTTTGATATAGTTGAATTAATTTTATATTAGTGATCATGACTTTTTTCTTTAAATTGGAATTATTAACATATATTAATAATAAAAATTAGTGTTTGACTAGAAGTATTAAACTATAATAAAAATTTATTTATGTATTTATAAATGCATATAATATATGTTTATATCAAGTTAGAAGTATAAACCAAAAAGCACAATAAAAATTCATTATTGAAGCGTCAACAAATAAAGAAAAAATTACCACTAGAAAGGGGTATTCAAACACACAAAGTTCATCTTAAAAACTATACTATTACTAGCCAACAAGTCGACAACTTGATTGGCTTCTCTACAGATGTGACGACAATTCAAATCTTTACTTATATCAGTAGATTTCACAATAGAGGTAACCAAGGTAAAGTAGACATGGGATGCATGGCAATATGGCATCCATCCTTAAGAAATTTCACAATAAGAGTAGAGTTAGATTCTACAATGATGTTCTCTATAAACCCTCTTTCTTTTAATCAACTAAAGGCCATAAAATATACCCCATAACTCGGTGATGACATCATGCCAAGGGGTCAAGTCTTAAAGAAGCCAAGAGTAGTGAGTTAGAGTTAAAGGAAGAAGACCTAAACTCTTATTGAGTTTTTGGTCACTTTTACTAACTTACTTTCTCTTCTTTATGCATATTTTTTCTTGTAAATATTTTCTTAATTTTGACCTTGTATTTTAGGGTTAAGTAAAGTAAGAATTTATTTCCATGTAATTTTTAATTTTAGGGGTGTATATAGTATTTTAGGAGAGTGTAACTAGAAAATGAGATATAAACTTGTTGGATTTAAATTGGCTCATAAGAGCTTTTTAGACGTTAGGTCTAAGCATGTGGACATCCATTTCTAATGGACAAGGTGCTCCATGGTTAATTCAAACTCTAACAAGTCACATGTGTCACACTTAGTCACATTTTTGGCACCTTGTCATGTGACAAACTCTTATTGGCTCTATTTAGGATGTTGACATGAGTCACATTTTATTATGCCTTATCATGTGGCATGCTTCTATTGGCCATTCTAGATTTAGGATAATGACATTTTTATGAGAGAAATTCAAATTTCAAATGTAACTAGAGTTTATAGTCTTGTGCATAAGTTAACCTAACCTAGATTACATGTAACCATGGTTAACTTAACTTGCACCACAAGTTATCAAACTCAATAAATTTTTACCTTATACACTTAGATGTCTACTTTTAGCATTTTTGAGAAATAAACTTGTGATTTCTCTTCCAAAATTATTGGTTCTCTTTCTTGGAGATACTACTTTATAAATTTTTATCAAGGAATTCCTCCTTGTGACAAGTTTTTCGCCATTTTTGCTTATCTTCCTAGAATTAGCGCACCTCCTCTCCTTCCTCCTTGATCATTTTTCAAGTTTCTTTGAAGTTTATAAGTCCATGTAAGAAGATTGAGAGCACATTGGAGCTAGTTGAAGAGAAACTTCATCCATCTCCTCCACTAGTTCCATCACCCAACTTGACGATTGACCTAAGGAACTGAGCATTGTTCTAAATTACAGGAGTAACCTAAACATTAAACCCTAAATCCTAAACTAGTTTCATCACTTGGCCTGAAGAATTGAGCATTGTCCTAGATTACAAGAGTAACCTAGTAAGAAACCACCAAGATGATTCCTAATAACCCCTCCACATGCTGCAAGACGACCCCCACCAAAAACTGAACCATCGCAATTAAGTTCGATAAAGCCTATAGGAAAAGGGTCCATTTGATGGGAGATGATCAATATAGAAGTGGGTTGTAGTGGGAGGAGGAAGTGGGTTTAGTGGGAGCGAGTGGTGAGAATAGTCTGCACATGCTAAAAGTGAAAGGTTCTTCCACACAATTTTACTAAAAAAAAGTAACTATTTTAATAATTTATAAATTATTTTTTTCTTTTTCTAGTAAAAATTGACCATTCTTAATCATTTTCTTGCCTATGGATGAGACACTTATTTTTCTACTTCATTGTAGAATCATCCTATAAATATTTATTGAAAAAATGTTTTCAAGATCAAACAATAAATAAATAAAATGATAAAAGACATGAAGGGCCTCAAAAGGAACCAATATCATTTATCTAGATAAGTTTTGAAAGATAAAATAATCTTAATAAAAGTGAAAATTAAAAGCTTTTACCAAAAATGTATATTCATTATAATATATAAAATACTTATCTTAAAACAAAAAGGTCGACCCAATGCTCCAAAGATCTATCCTCATTAATGTTAAAATAATGTTTTGTCAATAGAAGTCACACCTCATGAGTGCAAATTAATCTTTTATTGTCAATTTTGGACCATTGCGTAAATTATGTTTGTGGACAAAATCTTTTTTTTAAAAAATGTCTCATTTTAATGTACTATCTTTATTAAAAGTTCTATCTCCTCTAAAGTGAAAAAGCATACTTTAGAGGATAAGGTACATGGGATCACTAATAACCTCATCCTCATCACTTTTTAATCAACAGTTGAATATAATATTATATTTAATTTTAAATTTTAGAAGATAAAATAAATAAAATTAAATATAATATCTATCGTTGATTTTTTAATCAACAATTACGCACTTTATCTTTTAAAATGAAACTTCTTCACTTAATAGTAGTCAAATCCCTTTATTGAACATTTTAATAATTAAATAGATTCACTCATAAGTTCTAATAATCGTATAAATGATTAGAATAGATTTATTATTTTCTTTCTTTTCTAACAGAGGCACGTAGATGTAGTGCCTTTTTTTTTTCCACTAGTATAAGATAAAAACACTCCAACAACACTTTTAAACAAATATTTTCTCTTTCATATGGTGTTCTATATGGAAAAATTGAGGCCAAAAAAATTTAAAAATTAAAAGGAAAAAATGAAACAAAATGAGGTGTTGTTTGAGTCTTTTGTAAAAATTGAATGTTAAAAGGAAAAAAAATTACCCATTTTTATTAGGCAAAGTTTATGGGAACCCCGCTCCCAAGTGAAAAAGTTCATAAATTTATTTTGTGAATGTGGTTCACATGTGAATCGATTACTTTAAATTGTAAGATATATTTGTATATAAAAAATTGAACGATTCATATTTATTTGTTGATAAAAAAAATTATTATTGTATTAATTTTATTTTCTGATGATTAATGTCCATTTTGTCTAAAAAATAAAATTGTTTGATCATACCTTTCATATTCAACGCTTCTAATCAAACCTCCACTACTAAGTGCGTGTTTGGGAAACCGTTTAACACTGGTTGAAATCTTTCTAATGCAAAAAAAATCAAAGTAATTGATGTGTTGTTTTTGGGTTATGTTAAAGGTAACTAAAACAAACACACATTAAAGTTGCCACTAGTGTTGTTGCTATAGGATTCAGTAACATTAACACTACTCTATTTGACACTTTCGATGACTCCACATCGAGTAGAAATAGTGATAGTGAAGTCATAGGTCTATCGGTAAAAGTTGAAACAGGTGAGAAGGAGAAAAAATTGAAAGGAAAAGAAAAACAGAAAAAGGCAATTGAAGTGGAAAAACTAAAAGGAAAAGAGAACCCTCGAACCGTCTCGCTCTCGCTCTTTGTTATGGCAATTGTGGACATTGCTTATGAATACAAAGAGTTCTCGCATCTCGGACATTGCCATCACTTATGGCGCTCATGGATCGTTCTCTTTTCTCCTTAGATCCTCAAACATGATTCGATTATGGGTTTGGATTCGGTACCAATTTGAATCGTCATCGATCTTCAACTCTGAATTGCGAAGACGCGAACGAAAAACAGAAGAGTCGTACATTATCTTCTTTCTACGAATCATGGCAGTACCATGGTTTTCGTCTCTAAGATCTTGTCACCAACAATCTCATCCTTGTCAACTACAATCGCATTTCCTGCGATGCTAACAGCTTCGCCAACCTTGACGACTAGAATCCACCTTTCGTATCATGTTGGAAGATTTTGATGAAAATGTATCAATTGGTGGTGACCACAAAAGAGATACAGAATTACAAAAAATAATTTAATAATTTTAAATAATTTAAATAAAAACAAAAAATAAAAATAACTAATATTCACTAGTCCACCAATAAATCATACGTTGAAGCCCTTTTTTAATAAGTAATTAACATGGAGTTAAGATTCACTTAGGTGTTTTCATCCACCTCTTATTTTCTTTTTCCTAATTTTGAAATATTAAAATAATAGATCCTATTTCATTTGATTAGAACTTAAATTAGATTGGTATAGGGTGGTATGTCATAGATTAAAAAAATAATAGATCGGTGGTGTGGGAAAATATACCGTTCTTTAATCTTTCGATAAAAAAAAAATCAGATTTGTAAAATCTGTCTCGTAAACGAAATTTCCTTACGAGTGGGGCATCGTACGATCGTTGGGTTTCTCTTTCTATTTCGCAGACCTCACTCACCCTCACACTCTCAGCCACCGCAACCACCTCCTCCACCACCACGCCGCCGCCGGCAGCCACCGTGAGTATTCCCCCCTTACGTAGTTTTATCGTTCTTGGTTTTTGCTGAGACCAGAATCTCTTTTTATTTCGCAGAACCTTTTTTTGTTTGATTAATGGTGTTGCTGATTTTTTAGTTTGTTGGAACGTTCCAGTTCCCGAGTTCCTGGAGGGGAATTTTGAGTTGGGCTTTTACATAATCACTTCAGTGAAATATACATGGGTTCTGTAGATTTTATTTATTTATTTTTTATTTTTCCTTTTAAATTTTTCATGTTTTCTAAATAGGAGGGTGAGTTATGATACCCAATTGAGTTCTGAGCAAGCTAATTAGATTTTCTAATACTAATCTCATAGCCAATGTTGTATTCTTCTTCACATTTGTGGATGCAATAGGATTAAACAACACTCACCCATTTCGTTGAGTGAAACTATGAATTGATTACATTCTCTCTATTAATTTATTTTTATTTAAATTTAGGTGAGTTTTCTAGCATAATTTGTCAACTCAGCGTAAACGGGGAGGGTTAGCTTTCCAACCATAGGAAGTTCCAACAATGGCAGGCATAGCTATACTTCTAGATCTATGGAGGAAGAATCAAAATTTGAGCTCTGGATTGCACTCTTCTCACGCCATTCAGTCTTCTAGTGCCTTTTTTTCTGCCTCAGCTGCTGCCACTGCTGCTGCTGCCACTGCTGCTGCTGCATCTTTTGCTGCTGGGAGCAGTTTTGCTTCAAGGGCTTTGTTTGGGTACGCTCTGCCTCCATTTTTTCTGTTCATGAATTGTTATTAGTGTTTTAGGGATGTGCTTGCTTTGTTGTGTTAAAAGATTTTTGATCTAGGCTAGGATGTGCAATATTTTTGATCAGTCAGAAAGATTACTACATCGGTAATGCGTATTGAATTTAAGTTCTCATGCATCTACTTCAACCCTCTACCACCCTAGTGGTTCTAGACTAGGATGTCCAATTTGACAAAATATGATTGGTTTGGTTATGTCAGTGGATTACTATAAATTCTACTTCTAAAATTTAAGTGGTGAATTTTTTTTTTTGGGATAAATGGGTAGTGTGTGCTGGTTATTAGGATGTAATTTTATTTGTTGGTATAAATTGGAATCCATTCACTTATGTTTATTTGTAAAATAGTATAAAATTGTAAGATTTTAAAAATGTCATGATGATGTCTAATTGCAGTAAAGCAGTTTATTTGTTGTTATGGTTGTTTGCCTGAAAAAGTAAAAAACAGGTTGGAGGAAGAAATCATAATATGAGACGGAGCCATGCTTCAGTACAAGGTCATGGCCGTACTTATGAGAGAAAATGGCGTTTGCTTTGTACAAGTATTTTGGGTGGTTGAATATATTCAATTAGAATTGTTACTTTTGGATATTCTAGGTAGTGAGCTAAAGGGGCTTAGTTACCATTCATCAAACAGTTTGCTAAAGTCTGTTTGATTTCCCCCTCTATTTCTTCTAAAGAAAATATTTTGCATGAGGAAATCATTCTGTCCTATGACAACAACTCTTTTCTTTTATTATTGGATTAAAATATGGACCATACTCAAAGAAGTGTTGTTTTTGTTGTTGCTGTGTGTATATAAACTGAACTCTGTTTTTTGTTTTGTTTATTTGTTTTTTTATTTTTTATTGTGTGTGTGTGTGTGTAGGAGAGGGATCCAATTATATCAGTGCAACTTTTAGAAATTATTACACTGTTAGTAACTTTATATCAATCCAACTATTGAATTATTACCTATATTATCTTGAATATGTATGTCAAATTTTGTTAATATTGAACAACAATAAAGAGGTAATCGAATTATTTAGATTTTAATATATTTTCTAAAGTATATATTATGTTAATTTTGATTTATATGAATGAGGTATCTAATAATTTTAGATTAATATAAAATTTTGTATATAGATCTGGATGTAAGGAACTTTCTATTTAACGGTAAGTTTTGAGAAAATATTATCCAATTGAAAGTTATTAAATGGTGTAATAGTTGGTAAAATTTATACTTGTGTAATTTGATAAGCAGATTTAGTAGCTTATTTGAAGGAGTTACCATCATGGTAGTTGAATCGAGATACAAATAATGTATCGGAAGGTTTTTTTCATGGTATCCTCAAAATATAATGAACTTAAATTTCAACGGTTGGATTGTTGAAATTAGGTTTGTAGTGAGAGATACTATCATAACAAAAATGTTGTCTGGTACAGGATTCATATTTTCCAGCTGCAATACGAGGCCTCTAGAGAAATCGTTAACCGTTAGATCATGCTAAAATTTTGATGATATTTTCTTAAGACATTGATCTTTAAATTCAACGATCGGATCATGAAAATTAGGTCTTTAAAGGGAGATATTATCAGAACAAAAACGCTAATCAGCATAAAATTTTATGGAAAGGGGAACGGGCTGTTCCAACATTGGGAACAATTGGAAATGGCCGTTCTGCGCCCTAGATCAGTTTTTTTTAGTTTTTGGGCCTTTCATATCCATCTTGCCTCGTTTAGGTGCTTTATTGGGCCCTTAAGACCGTACGTGTTATTTTTTCCAACTGCAATGTGAGGCATATATATATATATATATATATATATAATGATAAACATATTTAATAAAATATATATATATATATATATATATATAATATAATTAAACAGTGATGTACTTATATATGAGTACTATAAGGGGAAAAAAAAAAGAGACCTAACATTTGTACAATAAATTTTTTTTACGAGAAGCTTATATATAAGGAGCCTTTGCAAAATTTTACTTTAAAAATTGGTCAAGGTAAGTGTAACGTGCTCGGGATAAGGAAGAATATATATATATATATAAAAACAAGAATTAAGTACATGCATATATATATATATATAAACAAGAATTAAGTACATGCATATAATCATAAATATTTTCTTGTTAGTACACATTTACATGTTGCAAGTCCATCACTATACAAATAGACAAATATCTGTAAATTGGATAAGTCATAGAGTAACTAAAGTTTAAAAAACTTGTTACTTCTTTGGTAATTGGGTATGCCACACAAACATTAATGGGTTTTACCAATTTAACCTCCTCGACTAGTATAAAAAGAGGCTCGAGTGAAGAACTCAACAATGAGAAAAGCACTCTTCTTTTTGTTTTGAACTCTTCTTTCTTTACGTTTTGTAAGGCACCTATGGAGATTAAGTTCGGTTAAAAGTAAAGTATAGATAGGAGGAGGAAACATCTATCATGTTTTTTAAAAGAAATTGTAATTATAGTTTTTTGGTGATGTGTCCATAACCTTATCTCGTTTCTTTATTATTTTTACCTAGCTAATGTTATTAAACTATTTAACGATTACTATTTTTTTACATCTTATATATGTTGTTGATATGTTTTATAAGTCATTTTGATAAATAAATTTACACATACTTTATTTAAAATTTTGTTTCCAATTATTTAACATAATTATTAAGATCATTATTATTAATCTTGATATTATATTGTACCTGATAAATTTATATATAAATAATATATATATATATATATGAATATTTTTTCCTCTTTTCTTTATGAAACATTATTGGAAATAAATATATACAATTATGCATATAATTTAATAATAATAATAATAATATAGCAATATATGCTATTATTTTTTTTAAAAGTTTATTATAATTAGTAAAATGTTATCTAAACAATTATTAAATGAGCTTGTATTAAAAAAAATGAGCTAAAATTCATTTGTAGTTGTTGATCTTGGGGATTTAAATGAATATAAATTTGATCAAGAAATAATATCCTTATATTGTTGAAACTATGGTAAAACTCATTTATCTTGATTTGTCACTAAAATCTATAACTCAAATATCTCCATGGATTAAAAATTAAAATTAATAACTAAAATGCACAACTAGTATGTATGTGTGTGTTTATATATTATTTTTATGTAAATACTTGATTTATATGATATATGTTCTCACTCCTTTTATGTGTCTTATTTTAAAAAAAAATAGTATGCAAATTTAATTAGATGAATGCACCAAATCTACCAAGACCTTTTATAGCAATGATACAAGTTATTTTTTCAGGGGCTAGTTGGAACACCAACATTGTCAACAATGCAGTGACTTTTAGTGGTGTAAGAATATCTTCCTTTATGTTTTTCCCTCGACAAGAACCCTATGTCATAGAAGGACCCATGTTATTCACTTTCTTTCTTCCTCTCGCTAGTGATGAAAACCCAATTGCATATTGTCGTAACCCGAAAAATTCTGATCTTACGACTAATGGCTTGGACTACCTTTTTCAAAACATCTCATTAATTAAGGAATGTTCGGATGTCAGACTAATCCTCAAATAATGGTTTTGAAAAATGAGTTCATAGAGTCGCCACCAATGTTTTACTCAAAACATTGAAAAAAAAAAAGAAAAGATTTGAAATTAAAATGGAGGTCTTCATAGCCAAAATTGGATTCGGGGGTTGATTACATGTAGGAAAGATGTTAGGCACCCCTACAACACCCTAAATTGGTACCCTATGATGAAATTAGCATGATAATATATAATATTTTAAATATCTTATCCCCTTTTATTATTTAATATTATTTACATGATAAAAAATACCTATTATCTACATTATTATTTATTGGTACATAAGAATTATGGTAAATAAAGAAATAAATAGAATAATAACTGAAATAATTAATAAAATGATAAATAAAAAACTAAAAGAATAAATATAATAGAAGAATTTAGAATCTCTAACACAAGCCTTTTGTAAGGTAATCTTCCCAAATGCGTGCGGGGCGCGTTTTGGCAGCCTTTCGCTCTACAAAAACCTCACTATCACTCAAAGGTTCATATAGAGAAGGGGGAAGCTATGCAGCTTTTTCTCCCCTTTTCTCTTGGCCAGGGGATTTCTTATATAGCCAACTAAAAGACAGAAGCATAAGAGAGCTATCCAATGTGGGACTAAATTTTATAAAAATACCATCTTTTTCCAGCTGGAGTGCGAGGCTTCTAGATAACTCGTTAACCGTCAGATCGTGCTGGTTTTTTTCATGGTATCCTCAAAATATAATGAACTTAAATTTCAACGGTTGGATTGTTGAAATTAGGTTTGTAGTGAGAGATACTATCATAACAAAAATGTTGTCTGGTACAGGATTCATATTTTCCAGCTGCAATGCGAAGCCTTTATAGAAATTATTAATCATTGGATCATGCTAAAAATTTGATACCATTGACCCAATTTAAACGTTTTGGAGGAATTAAAGAAGGAACATTTGTGATGTTTCTAGAAGTGTTTTGAGTCATAGTATGGCAGACAAGTCTGTCTTACTTTGTTTTAACCTTGAACAATGGACATATATTTATGTTAAGCTCTCAAGCTACTTTATTTCAGGTCATCAGTTGCATATTGTGATGCTGGTGCAGCATTATCAGAAGACTACATTTCTAATATACAAAATTCTTTTGAAAAGAATTTTAAATATGATGCTGTAAGATATAGTACCAAGCAGTATAATGTGGAACTTAAACCTCTCTTCTCTGCCTTTGAATTGAGGACATTTGCAATGACTTCCATTAGATCATTCTTGTTGTTCTATTTGCCCCTATTGGAGCCCCGTGCAGAAATGGAAGACGATGAGGATTTCCTCGAGGAAAATCAAGAGCACCATGTTGATCTGGTTGTTCCCTTCAAAAAATCAGTGAAGCAAATCATACGTGAGGTGAGATTTTATCCTATTGTTCTATTCTATGTTCAGTAAAATTTATATTCTGCAATATATTGACAGTTTATGAAATTGGTATGGGTGATTTGTTAATAGTAATAACTCTTGGGAAATAGAAACCCCATGTCTAATTCATAAATAACTCCTCTTCATTCCAGATACAGAAAATAAACATGTTAGTTGAGGAGGACCACTGTTTCTATCTCTATGTTAAACCAAGCTTTTGGTTTGACATGTGGAATTTAATGAATCCACAACCTTCTCTACACTCAACAATAACACTGTCATATTATTAGGTCATACTTAATGTAAGGTGATGGCCCTAGGAGGAATAAAGTTGTTTCTTTGAAGAAAAAATAGGGTGAGAAAATATTCAGCATAGAGATCTATGCATAAAGATGTCATGTCTTCGGGTTAACAGCCTGGTACCATTGAGGGCAATTGGTGCTATTTAGAAAATTTTGGACATTCCTGTACAGTCTAACAGCCATTTAACATCTTTAATATAGCCTAGAAATAAAAAATTGTAATAATAACAAACAAAACCATAGCCTAAAATTGCAAGAAATGTACATTTTACAAGGTTTTATCTATATTTTAAAAGAAATAGTTTCCTCCAATCAACCTTGCATATTTCATTAGTGGGGCTCTAGCTTCCGCATCTTCCTTCATAAAAGGAGTTTACATTTTCTTCATCTTCACATTCATCATCTAGAATCTAGACAACCTTCCAGAATGTCCTCTTGATTGAATTCACCTTTAGAATTTGCACAGGAGATCCAACTTGATCTCTACATAAGTGTTTGTAGACCCACAATTAGAAAGGTGTATATTAGAAGCAATGAAGTCCAGATACTTATAAGACATGGGTATGATGCAGCATAGAATATGGGAAATTATTAAACAATCAAGATACTATATGGCCTAGATACATAAGCATGAATTAGTTATTTTTTTTTTATTATTATTTTTTACATGAATGCACTATATTTGTAAAGGGATATTGCTCTTTTACATGAATACATGATAACAATATCAGTGGATGATGATCTCAATTTGCAAAATATTACCTATGATCATAATAAGAAAAACCATATCTTTTCCTTGCCCATGTTAGAATATGTTCTTTCTCTCATGCACATGCCACGAAAATTACATATATTGCCCCAACCCATGTCAGAATATGCAGATCATTACTGTTAGTTTTATTCAATTTAACTATTGGCTTTATATAATTTCTTACTATTTACTATAGCTCTGAGGATGTGGAGGAAAAGATAAAACTGTGTCGGGAACCATATGTAATTTTAATCTTATTCAAAGAATTGGAGTCTATCCCAAACTTATCAGTCAATAAACTTTAAAAATAAAATTGGAGGATACTCCCTGGATACGTGTCTAGGCATATTGTATGCACATTTGTATCAGATGTGTACCAAATCAATAGTTCACCATTTTTGGAGTACTTGGGTTCATAAACCGAATGAATAAGGGTGAGCAAAGGGGAATGCAACTTGGGTCAGTTTCAGCTCTGTGCAACTGACAGTTGGAGATCCCAAGTCCTAATTGCATTTGAGAAGGGAGAGCAACGAACATAAGAAGGGGAGGGAAATTGAAAGGGTAAGGAGATCCTGGATAGAGTTCAATAGTGGAGAGCCAAGAATCTCAAACCTCCTGTAGTTGAGAGAGATTTTAACTGTTTTATCTTCTTTTTAGATTCAGCAATCACCTTAGTTCCAATTCATTGGGAAGAGTTTTCATTCAATAAAATTTATCTTGTTTTTTCGGATTTTCTGATCCATTTCCTAGTAATAGGTTTCTCACATCTTGCGGAAGTTGCATGAACAATCACCATATCATAGCTTTCTGTTAGACTTGGCTAAGCCTAGGAACACTTACGATGTGCTGCCATGATTGATATGGATTGAATTAGGCTGTGATTATGAAACAATTGTAGGATAATAGCCCCAGGGTTGAGGGCTGAAATTCTAGCATCCAAGAATTAGGGAGAGAAAAGAATGGGAAAGGAGTTTTGGCGCACAACAAAGGGTGGGCTTGTTTAAGTAAAACCCTGGTCTAAGAAACAACCAGGGAATAATGAATATACATTAAAACTGCTATTTTTTTAGAAAACGGGGTGACCTCTCAATAAATAGAATCTATGTAAAAGTCCAATTCTAACCCATAAAATTCACTTAATCCTAGGCATCTAAGGTAATTTGAACAAAGAGAAAATAAGAGAAATAAAAATACCTGCATTACAGTAGTGTGAATAGTAACTCCACTGTGCAAACAGTTCTCATCAACGACAATGCAAGAAGCAACCCTACATTTAACTATTATAGTCCCCCTTTTTCCTCCATCAATACTATTAATCTTGTTGATTATATGCAGACCTGTCTAGTGTGTTGCTAAGTTTCTAAACTACATTTGAAATTGCCCCTGATCAGTTAATCTAATTAACTGAATATCTAATAATCTCCGGGAATAAAATTTTGACATGATTAATGTGGTCAAAATTGTTGTATGCTTCAAAGGTCCCGTCTCTGACTCTGTTTTATTGCCTGTTATATATAGGAATAATCTACATCTACTCATTACAGGAGTACCCTTACCAAAAACTACACAAACTTCAAATGTTATAAGGGAATGAAATAATATACTAATATATTTTTTATATTAGTATATTACACACTATGTTGCACAAATACGATTTCCATAACGATAATACAATTATTCTAAAATCTAAATGTATATAGGATATGATGCGTGTAAGATACATGTTTAGATATGTGTATCAATATTCATAGAACATAATAAATAATTGAGATATTATAAATCCAAATTAAGAACATACTTGTACATTACTAAAAACCAAAAAACTATAAATAATTGTCAACGTAAATGATTTTCCATTATTTCAAATAGGAATAATAATATCAATCTCATTTCTTTTTTAAAATCATCCATAAAAATGACAATTTCCATTTCTTGTTTATCGAGGGAAAATGTTTCTATTTTTCTATTTTATACATGCTTATGCATCTCATGTAGCTTATTGGATTTTCATAATTATTTTAAGACTTGGAACTGATATGTATTGGTAAAGTATCAAAGAGCATTGATATTAGATAAGATTTTCATAATTTTCTTAAAGACTTGGATTCTTCATTCATAAGTATCACTGAAGTATCGATATCAGATAGGATTTTTCATAATTTTTTAAAGGTTCAGATACTTCACCTATACGTATTGAAGTATTTCAGAGTATCGGTATCAGATACATATACATGAAGCAAATTGAAGCATAGTAGTCAATAACGGCTGTAGAGGCTGCGATAGCGGTGGAGCATCTTCGTGCCGCTATAGGGATCTTGGAGCAGATTGGTGGTTTAAAACATCAAAAAATACCTCATTAAATGAGGGTATTTTTGCCTTTTTGTTTGGATCTCCCTCTACATAGTTTGCCCTAAACCATAAGTCCCTTCTTTTCTATTGAGTGCAACTGCCCTAACCCTCCGACCTCTCTCCCTCTCGTTCGTTTTCCCTATCTCTCTTTCTGATCCTCTTCTCTGGCTCACTCTCCATTTGTCTTCTCAGACTCTCTACAATTGTCTTCTTCATTCCTCTTCTCCAATCTTTGGTATTTTTTCTCTCTTTTCTATTTGTGTTCATCTTTTTAACTTTTTCTTTTCTCTTCGCTTCTCCGACATTCTCGTGATTTTCTTCTTTTTCCTTTCCTTTTTTGTCTTTCCTGTTTGCTTCTTTTTTTGTTACATTTCTTTCTCTTTTTTTTTTGTTCATTTTTTTATTTGGGCATTTTTGTTCTTTTGTGATCAGCAGAACCATGACCCAACCAAACGCTAATCAACCAAAGAATCAGTGCTCAGGGGTTGGTGCTGCTGGTCATAGTCCCAGTCCCACCCCATTAATCTTGATAAGGAAGAAGATTGAACTTTAATGTTTATTTTTTTAGTTACTTAGAGCTTTAGCACTTTATTTTCTAGACATTTTATGTTATGTTTTGTTTGAATATTATAAACTTTTATTATTAAAATGATTAATGCATAAATTTTGAGTTATTTTTCTATTTTTAGCTTATATATTATTAATTATTTAATATATATAAATATAATATTAGACTAGTGGTCATCCTGCTATCCACAATCCCTTTACCCCACTTTTGGGGTTGGCCACTCTATTCCACTCTCCGGGATTGACTACTATGAATTCAAGTATCGGTTCTTCATATACTCAAAATTGCACAATCCCTCTAAAGCCCATGCTACAAATCTAATTAATCTCCAAAGATATTTGACGTTTGAGAAAGATGTATCTATATGCTGCGAGGAATTTGTTAACTTTTCATAATTGACCATCTTTATTTGAAATCTTCCTTCTTAATAATCTTTTACTTTTGGTGCTCTATATTCCTGCCGGACCTTGTTTTTGTTGATTCAGTATAATAACCAAATTGGTACTGTGGTTCCTTTCTATTTTCCCATTTTTTTATTTGATAATTACTAAAGTTATCTAGTAAATTAGTTTGATTCCTTAACTTTTGCTGTATTACGTGTGGATCAACATCATGCATATTTCAGAGTTTTTTACTCAAATAATACTATTTTAAAAAATATTTACCCAAATAGCAACGGTACAAATTTATTTCCCAGATTAGCACTATTCATTGTTCACGTTCCAGAACGGGCCATTCCAGATTAAAAAATAACACATGACGAATGGATTAGAATGGGCCATTCCAGATTCAAAAAATGCACATAAAAAGTGGAACTAGAACGGACCGTTCTGAATTCGGAACAGGCCGTTCTGGCCTATAAATAAAATTTTTTAGTTCGATTTTTACTAATCAAATACTAAAACTCAGAAACTAACATCAAATAATTAAATTTATTGAATATTAACATTGTAAATATAACTAAATAAATTTATTAAAATTCAATACAATAATAAAGATCAATGATGGTAGAAATTGATTATGTTGTTATGTAATGTCCATATCTGTTTTAATCTTGCTGGACTTTGGCCACCCTTGAAAGTTCTCTTGAATTCTGGATTTGGTCACAAAGTTGGACCAGTGTAAGTAGGCCAATAATCTTCATGTCGGAGCTCTCCAAACTGTCCTTTGTATACTTTTGCAACTTATTGTGAGGTATATATGAGAGATATGTAAGTTTGATAGTCGTGATGTGCATGTAAGCATGAAGCAAGTACATGCAAGCAAGGGATATAAACTTTTTGGAATTTGCCGCAATCACACTACATTACATTTAGCCTTACTGTAAATCTCCCAGCGAGTCATGCGAGCAAGGGATATGAACTTTCTGAAACTTGCTGCAATCATACCACATTTCATTTAGCCTTATTGTAAATTTTTCAGCGGGTCAAATTTCTCTCGGATGTTGCGTTTCTTCCAACTTTGTGGCCAAATCTAGAACGCAAAAGAACTTTCAAGGGTCGGTCAAAGTCCAGCAGGATTAGAACAAAGATGGACATTAGAGAACAACATAATCGTGTAAAAAATTGTTCCTATTGTCACACTCCTGGTCACGCCTTACTGTGAATCTCCCAGCGGGTCATGCGAGCAAGGGATATGAACTTTCTAAAACTTGCTGCAATCATACCACATTTCATTTAGCCTTATTATAAATTTCTCAGCAGGTCAAACTTCTCTCGGATGTTGCGTTTCTTCCAACCTTGTGGCCAAATCTAGAACGCAAAAGAACTTTCAAGGATCGGCCAAAGTCCAGCAGAATTAGAACAGAGATGGACATTAGAGAATAACATAATCGTGTAAAAAGTTGTTCCTATTGTCACACTCTTAGTCACGCTACCATTGATCTTTATTGTTGTAATGAATTTTAATAAATTTATTTAGTTATATTTATAATGTTAATATTCAATAAATTTAATCACTTGATGGTAATTTCTGAGTTTTGGTATTTGATAAGTAAAAATCGAAAAAAAAGCCTGAATCTGTAGGCTAGAACGGCCCGTTCTGGTTCCACTTTTTATGTGCATTTTTTGAATCCGGAACGGCCTGTTCTGATCCATTAGTCATGTGTTATTTTTTTTATCTGGAACGACCCGTTCTAGAATCAGAACGACCCGTTCTAGAACGTGAACAGTAAAAGGTGTTAGTTGGGAAAATAAATTTGCACGGTTGCTATTTAGGTAAATATTTTTTAAAATAATATTATTTGAGTAAAAAACTCGCATATTTCATTATGTTTCTCTATATTCTTATAATGGTTAAAACTTATTATGTTAAATCTGTCTTGCATGCCATCACAGACAACCGTTGTGACCACCAGAAGGATTTTAGAAAGAATTTCTGTTCATTATGTTTCACAAAGAATGGCATGGAAACTTCTTAAAGGTATGTTCTCTTTGAAATTGTTTTCAAATTCAGCTATATTTTAGTGATTAGATGCCCTTGCTTGCACAAAGCTGTTTTTACTGCTAGCCAAATCGATTAAAATTTTACGAGTGAGAGTGGTTGTATATTCTGAGCTCTCCATTACAAGTAGTCGGTTTTTCGGATTTCTTGAACAGATATCCCTAGATCAGCAACTCGCAAGGCTGGAAGGAACATGCCTACTTTGGTTTACTTCTACTGTGTGGGCAGAACAACTTTCAGAGGTCAAAGCAATTCATGAATTATCTGTCCATTATGAAATTCTTCCCTGAGTTTTTGACTTCAACCATCTTGTGCTGATTATCTTTTTGTTATCTACAGGACACATGCTCGGAGTTGCAGCTTCATGGCTTGTCCAAGTAGGCATGGATTTATATCGATTCTTTTCCTCCGGGTTCAAGGCTCAGCATGAGGAGGATAATGATCTTGATCAAACCAAGCATGTTGGAGTTCTTGGACAGAAGGTTTTCATTGCTACAATTAGATGTAGTTCATCTTTAATTTTTGCTGCCATAGGAGCAGGAATTGGTGCAACCCTTGTTCGTCCATCGCTTGGCCAGTGGATTGGTAAGATTATAAACGACACATCCATTCAAAGAATGAGAAATGCTTGTTTATGCTCTCAATTATTAGTTGAAAATCATAAATTTTAGTGAGTCCTACCATTAAATCGGGAGAGAAACTTAATAAATGAGACATAGGATCACAAAATTTGTGATTTCTAATAAATTTTAAACAATAATAAAAAGATTATTAGAGAAACTGTTGATAGTATATCTTCAAAGACTTGTTGCATATTACTTGAATTTTGTTATTTGTGTTGAGATGATTCTTGTTTGTTTCACTTCAATAAGGCTTAATCGTGTCTTCTTTTTCTTCAGGGTGTGCTGCTGGTGATTTGGCTGGTCCCATTATTGTAGCATTTTGTGCTGACCAATTATTCCAAGTGAAACTTTAAGCTAATTATATTTTCTGACAGATTTTTTTACCCGTTTCCAATAACTCGGGTATAATATGAATTTTGCTGTATTTGCTAGCCATATCTGATCGAGCCACTAGAAATTGGTGGACTGCTTTTAGCTGAAAGAATTCTAACATTTTTCCCCTGATAGAATATTCGATATTATTTCAATATAATACACTCACCAAGCTATTTATTATGATATTGCATTTCGTAATGTGTTGGTAATTTATTTTTTCAACATGGAATTCAAACTTGAACAGTTGAAGGTGAACTGAAAACATCCACTTATGTAAGTGATTACTACACCCAAGGTCTGTTAGTTTTATTGGTACTTGGTGGTAGGAAATTAATTACATTTTGCACTATTTTCTTATAATCACATTTTTTTTTCTATTTTTCATAAATTTAGAAATTTTAATTCCGGGAGGACGTTTAATACATTTCTGAATTGAATTTCTGGATGAGTGATTTTTTTTTTGGTGAAAAAAAAACACCTAGAAATTCACAAACCTTTTTTTTCTTCATTTTTTTTGTATTTAATTTTTTTTAATCATACCAGATGTTTATTATTTCTTTTTTTATTCTTCCATCTCTCTTTGATCCACACGATATCCATTATTCTTAAAAATCTGTTTGGAATTACATTTTGGGAAATGTTGCAAGAAAAATGTCGGTATTATTAAAGAAAATAACGAAATGTAAGTCGATGTAACTGGAGATTTACTTAGATGAATACCGTCGAACGTGTTCGTAAATGTTATCTGACCATTCGTTAGAAAAAAGAACGAGTGATTTCATATCAATGGAAATTCATCATCCGTACATAATGAATTAGTGTGGTATATTCAAATTATAACATATGACCAAAACAAAAACTAGTACTTTAATTGAGATCAGAACTTATAGGGACGAAAATGGATTTATGAATAGGATAAAATGGGCAGTATTTATAGATAACAGTATTTAGTTATTGGGAGAAAATTAACATTTTTAATGTCATTCGGGATCAATTAGGACAAAAATAAAACAGATGAAAAATGATATCAAAATAATATCTATGGATAGTCATCTATTATTAATTTCACTTTCATTAGGCTGTAACATTAATCTTATGAAAGTCCAAAAGATATGTGGAGAATAGTCAAATGTTAAACATATGACACGTTGATTGATTGTTGAAATATTCTATTGCTGTTATTGTTAAATGCATCCATGTTATTTTTAAGATATGATGAATTCATTGAGTTCATCCTTGTACTCTTTCGTTGATTGTGAATTTGTGATGACCACATCTATAACGTATGAGCAGATGATGAGACTTTAGCCGATTAAACTACTCAAATGTGATTTAGAGATGTCGCCATAGGAGATGGTGGGGTGTGACTAACTAAATGTGTCACATTTGTGAACTTGATGTTGAGGAGTTATCCTCTTTAGATTCTCGAGATGTATAGTTGTGGCTAGCTAAGAAATGTGTATTGTGTCCCCTCTTGATGTTTATGTATTTGGTTATGATGACACACTAGTTTTGATTACATATTCACTTTATCACCTTTTTTTTTATTTTTATTTTTTATTACTCTAGTATTGATTGTTACATTAATGGTTTGTAATGGCATAGGGCGCATTACTTATTTCATTGCTTATATTTATCCTTCATGATGTGGTGTTGATTAGATGAATGATATTGATGTTTTATTTTAGATAACATGATAAATGAACCGTGTTTTCATAAACAAACTAATAAAAATCGTTTTAAGATTGAAATCTTTCCATATTGAATTAGTTGTTTGGTGGCATGTACAATGGATGTCGTTACATTCAATAAGTTGCTTTCCTTGAACTCTTTCGAAATAACTATGGAATTGTATTTTCACACAGTGCTATATTTTGCCCCAATTTTCCATTTATGGTTGTATTTATGGTTTCATTCATTTTAGCAAAGTTGACTTTGAAGTTAGATCCCTTCATCCATTTCCAAATAATGATGATATGTATAATTTGCTCAATAATTTATATTGGGATCTTGATATCTATGTTGTACACTAAACAAAAAGGAGTCTAATGAATCATGGAGATTTTCATGTGACAAAAGTGAAGGGAGCTCATCAATCAATTTTACTTTTACATATGCTAACCTTCTCTTCAATCTCATCAACATCACCTTACTAGCCACCTAAGTCTCATCAACACCACCTTATTAGCAACCTAAGCCTCCATGCATGTTAGAATGAGGATGCTTGATGGAAGTGAAGAGTATCTTAATGCCTAATTCTTCAAAAAAAAAAATATTGTTGAAGTCGACTACTAATGAATTGAGTCTATTGTTTGCCACAATCACATGGAACACCAAGTCAACTTATTATCACCTTCTATAAGAATTTCCTCACTTTCTGTGTTGTTATTGTCACTTGTATCATAGCATGCATAACATCTCATCATATATTTTCATATCATTTAAAACAAAGATGTAAACAAATCGAGATTAACGTCTAAACTAAATCAACTTGATCAACTTAATTACATTGAGATTGGGTTAGATTGAACAATATCTATATTGTTAGCATTGTTTGACACATGTATTATGACTTGACTTTTTTCTTTTTTGTAACTTAAACAAAAAAGTGCAACACGAAGACTTGAATTAATTATGTATTCTATTTTTTGTTATCTTTTAAAAAAATTAAAATATATAATATTATAATATATTGACTTGATTTAGGTTAGGTTGATTTGCTTGAAAAAAAAAAAACGTAAATAAGATCTAATCCAACTCAATTATGTTTTAATGGATTATATTTTAAATTAAGTCTAACCTAATCAAATATAACCCAATTGACTTATTTATGTTCCTAATATCAAAATATAAATATTCTCATAACCATTGTAAAATATTCATAACATTATCTTTCTTTTACTTTTCTTTTCGTTTTATTGACAAATTTGTGTTGATAATCTCAGGGAATATTCCCGTGTTTTCATAAATCTCTTGGAGATTCAAATGTTATACATTACCCTTTCCAATTCAAAAAATGTTATATACTATTCTTTGAAAATTAAAAGAAAACAAGTATTTTTTTTAATAAAGAGAAAATAAATATTATTCTTTATCTAAAAATGTATAAGTCTTATCTTTTGTCTTCCTTCATAAGATCAAAGTGGGTTGTCATCCTTTAGTTACATGATTAAATAATCATTACATTACATACATGTAAAAATTGAGAGACACGTATAAATAGTAAATGTTCGTGACAAGAATGCTTCTAACATGAGGCACTCCACTAAGTGCCCTGTGAGGTAGGAAATTATTTTTAAAATACTAATATTTTATTAGATAATTTATTGTAAAATATCTTTTTATTTTATTTTATTTATAATATTTATTAATTTTAAATTATTTTATTTAAATATCCAAAGTTACTATTACAAAAATAACCTTTTTCTTCCATTCTCTACCCACCGCACTTTCTTCGACGTCAATCACACCTCCCACAACAGTTGAAACTTTTCTCTTCTCATATTCTATTAATTTTGTAAAGACTGGAAAATAAAAACAAAGGCTGAAATTCAAGTTCCTTCATTTTTGTCATGTTTCTTTCTTCTCTTTCTCTTTGTTTGGCATATGAAACAATTATATTGTAACAATTTTCACATCCATCGTTCACTTTCCCTGTATTGAAAATTTACCTCTTCTTTTATCTTCTTCTTTAGTTCCATATTTCCAAGTTTTATCCAAAACACCCAAAATCTCTTTGATTTGTTGGGTTTGGTGTTTGTTTTGTTAGAGAGATCAAAGTTCTATTCTCAACCAGATCTGGATTTTGTAGAATATCTTTTTTTTTTTTGATCTTGAGTTCTCTTGAATTTTTCTCTTTTAAGGTTTGCTCCAAATTGTTAGAAAAATAAATTTAATAGAGCACAATAAAAATAAATATTTAGATTTATCAATAAAACCAATATCAACAACACAATGAATATTATAAAATTAAAACAGAGCAATCAGTAAAAATTAATTAAACACAAAGAGAAAATTAGAATATTAAATAATAGGTTTAGAGTAGTCTGAGTTGAAGCACGCAGAGCGACGCCCCCACTGGCACTCCTCTCCCAAGATACGTCAACTCGTTAGACCGTTCGAGTGCAGCGAAAGATCCCCGAACTAAAGAACACCGCTCCAAAATGATAATTTTTAGTAGAAATAATATTGAGGGAGAGAAAATATGAACTTGCTGTGTGTATGCTGATTTTTCATGCCATCTCTCACGTATATAAATATATATATATATAGGCACACTATGCACCTTTTTTTCCACATCAACAGTACGTGCTAACCGTTTTAAAATTTGTTTTGCAAAACCTTTTTGGAAACAAACCTTTTTGGAAACAAGTGCACGTAATGTGCTAAATAATAGGAAAAAAAAAACCGTGAGTGTTGGTCTTGGATAAGGTGCACGTACCATCCGAAAACTGATTTTGATTTTTGGAACGTTATATAAAAAAAGATTAATTATATTAAATATTTAATTTAAATTTTAAATTATAAAATAATTTTTCAACAATCCCTCACTAATTTAAAATTTAAATATAGAAAAATGATATATATATATATATATATATATATATATATATATATATATATAAACTTAAATATTTTAATGGAGCATGATATATTATATTTTCAGTACAAGGAACCTTCCGGGTTTGAGCCTTATACCTAGTGCATATGAACTTCCATTTGAGAGAATATGGAGACATAATTGTCTTGAGTCATATCCCTTTAACCAAATTTTAGAACAAAACACGTATAATAAAGGTGTTCATTTGAGTTCTAATCAGTGGAGCGCATTACGGCCTTGCGCATGTATCTTGTTTCGTGAGTGTCATTTAGAGATTGTCCAAGTATCTCACAGTAGCGGCCCCACCACCACACTCACTAGGTGACTTGTTAAGATTGTAACTCTTTTATCCTTGGTTCACTAGAGATTTCTCTATCAACAACTTAATCCTTGTTCCATTCGAGTTAACCAACTAAGCAAAGATTAACTCAAGACTTCCCTAAACGAATTAAGAAAAAGTATACAACATTGAACCTCTCCACAGAATTAAGCAAATTGTGGCATTAAACGCAACCAACCCAAATTCATTAAGCATGAACAGATGTTGAAAACACATCACTACAGAAATTCAATGAAGAAGACGAAAATGG